ATAGGAGAAAAGAAAACCTCAGTCAGATTGATGCATTTTTTACCTATATTTTTAATGCATTTCCATCTGAAGAAATAATTTCTGTTTAATAACACAATTTCCTTGATTATAAAAAATTTATAGCAGAACTAGAATGATTACAGAATGATTATTAAAATGTCTACTTACAACATCATAATAATAGGTTGTTGTCATTGAATCCATGTTTGCAGAAAACAAAGAGGCAGCAGAATGGCTGAAAACATCCAAGAGCACACTCAGCTCAAAAAAGCATCAGAACAGGCTCTGAGTCTCAAATGACAAGGAATCAGAAAGAAGAAGTTAAAAATTCAGGAACTGAATCTTTGTACACTTTGGACAGATGTGCATAAAACTATAGTAGGAGTGGATGAGTGTGTCAAGGAAATTGTGACATATTTTTAAGACGTCTGCAGACAGCTTCAAAAACTTCTGCTTAATTCAAATGTGAATATGGAACTTTCAGAATCCATGCAGATTTTTAAAAATGTTTTTACAGCATTCAAACTGTGCCTTACAATACCAAAAGTGAAAATTTGGAATTGACAGAAAAGCAGAAATAGCTTTTACTAAAATATAAAAAAAATATTATTCCCTGGAGAAATGAAAGCGCTTGCTGGACAGAATCATCAGTGTTGTTTTGCTCAGCTTTGGCTTGTAATGTTTAATTCCACACTCTGTCTGCAGCAGTAATCTTATACAGATTTACAGAAGATTTTTACTAAATCTTCTATAGTTTTAAAAAAGCTTACTGTCAAAATTAAACTCATTTTCAATATTTACTCAAGAGATTTTAAGAAATGTAGGATAACAATATATATTTAAAAAAGACTTACCTACTCTTGAGATTTTGTGAAGAAAAAAGGATGTGACCAAATGAGGCGCAGGGCAAGTGAGAAATGAAGAGAACAGGATATAAACTCATTTGCACATCTATGTGGTTAAAAAGTCAACATGCATGTGTGTATAGATAAGAGCATTTAGTTTTTTTGGGGAAGAAGGGGGCTTCACGTTCATCATGTCATCTGTGTTGTACAATTCAGCTGAAAAGCAAACATCTGCAAACAGGAAATATGCAAAAAGTGGAAAAAGTTGCAATAACTTGGTTGCATAAGATTATGCATCTTGAAACCAATACTTTGCTACACCACATTGATTCCGTTCCACATGTCATTATTTGTATACCCTGTTCAGATGTGGCATTACCATGTGCCTTGGACGATTCCAAGTGAATGAGTTTAACACTGAACATTCATTCCTGACTGATAGCATCATAGGTACCTTGCTTTACATCCATGTGAATCCGTAGCCATGTTCCAGAGAGGGATGCCACCTAACAGCAGTACTTCGACAAATATGATCTTTGGTATAAATCACTGTTATGTATTTAAATTACCTCTGTTGTGCTGGTTTTTCCAAAATGCAACGTTGATAACATCTGTATTTCCCTGCAAGCAGTGCGTTGCAGGTTCAATCCCTGCTCTGTTGTGTCTTTGGTGGTGGCAGCCATAGCTGTAGCTATCCAATAGCTTGCTACCAATCAGTGTATGAATGGCTGAATGCTGTGGACTTGATATGTGTAGACCATTCATCATTTTAGGCCTGTCTGATGGTCTAAATATTAAATATTGTGCACCTTAAAGTTCAGTGTCAGTGCACAGTCACTAAATATTTCAAAATATAAAGCAGAACTGCAGTAAAACAGCTAACACCTTTTGTCAGTCCACACGCCTTGTGGTACGTGATCATAACTGGAGATTTCAAAATCTTCAACAATGTTTTCCTCTGGTCTGGATGACTGAGTTTATACATTAGTGATTGTGGCAGGTTCAAGAAACAATACCATTAAACTAAATAGGGAAAAATCTCTCTCATGCATTGTCCTCCACCTTTTTCCACTAACTCCAACAAGTACAACTTTTAAATAAGAAAAATTATTTTATTTAGATAATTGCTGAAAACTATTTAAAGCATTTTTTTTATATATATATATTAGCCGTAAGTAACACTGTAAAAGGAAAGGCTTTTTTTCATCAAACCATTTCAATTAATGATGCTGCTTAAAAAGAAAAATATGTCCCAAAATAGACAGAGAAAAAAAAAAAACACTAAAGAAAATGATCTTTATTCAATGGTATTGTCTACAGTTATGCAGACTGGTTGTTTCAGCATTTTTAAATATTTGTTCCTGCAATATATTTTGCGTTTGTTCAGTTTTCCAATTTGGTGACAAATGTTTTTGGATATAATGATCTCTGGTTTTAAAGTCTTAGAAACCTTGAATCTTTGCGAGTTTGCAGATTGTTGATGCTGTTTCAGTGCATTTGTCCTCTAAAGTGTTTGGAAGATTTTATTTTTACATGAAACAAAAGCATATTTGAGTTCAGAAAGAAAAGGTAGGAAGGCTGAGTTCAGACAAACAAAAGGTGACAAAGCTCAGTGCCGCTTTTAAGAGTATACATGAGTCACACAGTGAGACACAGTCACCAACGAGGCAGACAGAGCAATAAAAAAAATCCAGCCTATTATTTTGAAGTCATGGTGTGATTTTTTTTTTTTTTAATCAACGGATGCACTGACTTTCTGAGGAACTGAAGAGTCTTGTGGTTAGACTTGTTTCAAGAAAAGCATCTTATCTTAGGGTCTTCTCGTAAAACAAATGTTGTGCAACACTTAGCATGTTATGGTTTCTCAAGAGAGGATTGGTGTTCATACTCAACTGATATATATTTTAGATGCCCTTCTATCTTTGACGGGAGCCAGATATGTATATATTGCAACAATTTTCAGTTTGCTTCCAACATTCTTTTATTTTTCATTTTTTTATCTGTACATATACACTGATAAGCTTTTCTGATGGGAACAGCAAGACACAAGCTGATTAGAAATTAGCTTGTTGCTGCTCTCTGGTGGTCACTCTGTAGTTGAGAATTGTTGTGGCTCAAACGTTCAGAAGTATTTCATTAAAGAACTCGCATGTTTAAGAGATTCTGTGGCTAAAATAGTATCTACAGCTTCGATGAGGCTTTTATGTCCATACATGTTTAATGGCCATAAAAGTTATGCAAACTGGTTGTTGCAGCATTTTTAAATATGTCCTCTAAACACTTTTTAAGTATTTGGAGGAAATGCTCAGATTTCCTAAAACATGTTTGTACAGTGAGAAAGAAAAATAAAGTGTTGTAATTTAGGATGGATAGTAGGTGGCACATTGCAAAAACCTTTGCTATTCAAATTATTATTGATATTGAGAAAAGCTTCATTTTACTATACTTACGGTATGCTGCGTTCAACATGATTTGTCTCCATTGTATTAGTTTTTAACATGATATTGTTTATTTTATATATTTGATCTGTGTTTGAGTAAGGTGCGGTGGAAAAAGGGCGTTTTAAGAGGTTGCCATATGCAACATTTTTTTTGTAGCTCTTAAGGTGCTAATAAAAACCTGCTGCTACAACAGGTGCTTATAGCTAAAAAACATTATTAGAGTAAAATCAATATTCAGCACCCTTGATCCAGGTCCAAACTAAAAAGGAATATAAGTGATTAATGTTTGATATTTGGGATGGTATTGAGGATTTTAAAATTCTCCAGGAGAGGAGAACGTATCTAAAGACATTGCGATTAACAGCGTGCGTGTGTGCGGTTTGGTTACTTATTCTGTCTTTGTCCTGTAGCCAGTGGGAAGTGGTGGAGTGAGAGCTGAACACGTCAGCAGGTGAATGCTAACTTGCTACAGCTGTGGAACTAGCAAGTGATAGAATTAGAGAGCCTGATTACCACATACTGTGAGAAAACAATTTACACTCCTACTTTAGTTCCCCCTGGTTAGGCTTGATGAGCTCCAGGTAGTGGCCACACCTGTTAGTCACCCCCACCCACCACCCCCCCACCCCCCACACACACACACACACACACACACACACACACACACTCTCACTCTCCTGCACACAGCTTTCTTCATAACAAAAATTCTCAAGTTTTCTGAAAAATCCACAACATGTTTACATATGTAGTATAAAGACAGAAAGAATTTTTTTTTTTCTGACATCACTTTCAAATTACGTTATGCACATTTAATCATGTTGCCAAAACTGTGCTCTGCAGTGGGGACGGTGTGTTCAGGGTGAAGTATTTTTCATCACACAAACTGTTTTCATGCAAGAAAGTAGAATTTTGGTCTCATCTGACAGAACTAGTTTCTTTCAAATGGTGGCCAACTCCTATAACCTCCTTTCAACAAAACCTTCTCTCATTAATTCTCTCCTCCCACATGTCACCTGTCCTTCTCGTCCTGGCAGGTCTGCAGTGGTGCCACACATATTTGATGTTAAGATTCTGAATTAAAAAGCATTTTTGAGACGTTCAAAACTTGGGTTTTATTTACCTGTCAGTCCTGATGAACAATTATCTAAAAAGAAATTATAGAATTACATAGAGTAGGATACTATTATACTATTTTCAAACATATAAAGTTAAGTTGTGAAAAGAAATTGTATTATTATTATATTTTTGGGGATCTTCTGTTCAGTGGCAGACAGTACAATCCCAATGTACAGTTTGTCAGATATTCTAGGACTTGTGTGCCAATAGAGACACAGCGTTTATTCTTTTGTGTTGAAAGATCTTTATTTCATGACAACAGCGTCACAGTCTATTTTTTACTCTTTCTTTTTATTATACTCAGCTGGACCCTCAGTAAGTCAACACACCACACCTCACCAAAGTGACTAAAATATGAATATGCACTTGAAGCCTGCTTTGTTCCTTAATTACGTTTTGCTGATAAAGTCCAGTGAAGCCTTTCAAAACCTGCAATACGCCCTAAAAGCTAAATGACTCTTTTCTATACATACTGTTTGCACTTGCTCAGATGGTCAGACTGTTTGACATGTGGTATCAGCAGATGTTGTGCTTTGGGTTGTGTCTGTTGTCACGGCTGATATAAAAGCAGTTGCTCTGCTTTTTCTCTCCAGGGCTTATTTTCTGACTGTGACCATCTTCGACATCAGAGAAAATACTTTGAAGAAGTAAGAAGTAAAATACAAAGAAGGTAATGTCTGACATCCGTTTAGTATCTATTATATTTTCTGTCATAGATGGTATAAAGTTAAACTTGCTGGTTGAATAATTACAAAAAAAAAGAGTAAGTATAAAATATTGAAAGTCTTCTTTTCTTTTGCTTTTAGCCATGGCATTCCAGTCTAATGTCATTACCTCTCAACCTACCCAGTACACAGTAACAACTGGACGTTCTTCAGATTGGAATACAAATGTGTGCGATTGCTGTGATGACTGTAGCATCTGTATGTGTTTTTATGGAACTGTAAAAAGGAAGCTAATTATGTTTTTTTTTTTTTTTTCCAACAAATCTGAATTTTTATTGTATTTATCTGCCTTTCATCTAAAAGGTTTATGTGGAGCATTTGTCCCATGCATCCTTGGTTGTAAAGTGGCTGAAAATAATGGGGATTGCTGCTGTCTACCTTGCCTCCCAGGTGCCATGGTTGCTTTAAGAACAAGCATACGTAGCAAATACAACATTGAGGTGAGTGGAAAAGTTGTTCTTTAAACAAAACAAAGGAGGATAAAAATAACATGCTAAATTTAAAAAAGCAACCCATTATGTTTTAATTCTGGGGACCTTTTGTGGGTGTAAGACCTTAATTACATTTTATTTGTTAAAGTTCATATTCATTTTTCACATTTTGTATGATGTTTCTGAATTTTAGGGCTCTGTGTGTGACGACTGGGTGGTCATGGCCTGCCTGCCTTTATGTGGACTGTGTCAGATGGCGCGAGAGCAGAAGATGAGAAGATAAACAGATTGCTGATTAATTTTTAAATAACTGTGAAAAGACATAAAAAAGCAAAAATTAGCATTGTGAATTTGATCGAAGAAAAATTTAAGAAATTTAATGGGTTTTTTTTACATTTTTAATGTAAATATATCTTGTATTACTTTAACATGTCTTACTATTATACATCTACTTCATAAGCTGTAAATGGTCTAAAGTGAAGGCAGAAATAGAGAGTTAAAACTAAGCTAAAAGATCTTACAAGCCTTATAGAGTCACTGTGTTGGATTAACAATAAAAGATAAGGAAATTTAAAGCAGCACTGGTCCTTCCTTTTGCAGAAATGATTTTGGAAAATCAAACATATAAAGGTTTAATAAGATTATTCATAACTATTTTATTTAATTGTGTTTCAATAGTGCATCACATTTTCTTTACAGTAATGTTTTGTACTTTTTGTACTCGCTTACACAATCACTGGTACTTCAATAAAACAAGTAGGAAATAGCAAATTGTGGGTTTCATTTATTTTAAAGTCATGTAGTCTTGCTTTATTTGAAAGGACTTTAGTGGGCTGCCACTATCTTCCTCTTTCTGACTAAGTCCGTGTTTTCAGTCATGTAGCGACAGAGCTCTCTGAAGGAACAAGGTGAAAGGAACAGAGTTCATTTGAACAGGTAAGAAAGTGTGTAAATAAGTTTGATGTATTTTTTCCTTCTAAGATCAGTCTGAGACACTAAATTTATAAATTTTCTTTGAGAGATAAAGTAAATGATAAAGTGAATATGCTACTGTGCCTTTAATTTGAAAGTGAAGTCACATTGTCACATGACTGGTTCTACACAATAATGGATTATTTGAAGACACTGTACAAAACGTTTACTTGTTTACTTATGTCTTCATTTTGCAATTTATGCTACACTCTTGGACAATTTTCTCTGACTTGATGACAAAAGTTTGAGATGCAGGTCAGTTATAGATTTTGTTAACAACTTTGGAAATTCTCTGGGCTAAAATGAGGACAAGAAAAGCTTCTAAATATTAACATAGTCATGTGAGGGTGACTAAGCTAACAGTTAGTCTTATCTATCTCCTATTGCTGTGAATAGTGCATGTTTTATCATTTGATTTTTCTGACATTTAACAAAAATTTTCACATGATTTATCTCTTTTCTTTAAAAATAAAAAAATGCTATATTCTTAAAGTGTAACTAATGTAATGTAAAGATTATTAAAGTCATAATACTGCTATGCAAATATTTCATTGTTATCTTGATTAAACTAAAGCAATATGACATCATAAATGTCTGCCAAATTTAGTAAGAGGTATGCACCTTATTGCACACAATATTAAGGGCTATTTATGAGAATGAGCCTTGTGAGCTGATAATAGAAGTTTATTTAGTCAGGCTATCTTCTCTGGTGCCATACTGCAATCAGCTGCTTAACAGACAGACACCAAGTACACCAACTGCAATTTTAAATCAGTGATAAAGGTAATTGAGGGTTCCTCGTTTAGAATCCATTCCACCAATGTTGCTAATGACCATCAGTGTTTTCTAATTGAAAGATTTGTTTTTCTAAAGTTAAAAGGAAAAAATTAAATACCACAAGTGTGCAACAATACTGTGGTGCTCTGAGCTCTAACCAGCCAAAAAAAAGTCTGGTCACTTTGGCACTTTCTCTGGACTTTAATTGAAATTACTTTGAATTATAGGATAATTTACAATTTTGTAGTTTCAAATACCTTGATGTACCTTAATAATACTTACTGCTGGCAGTAATCTCTCATTTAATTGATATTTGGAAAGCAGAAACAAACAAGTTTGAAATAAGCATTGTGAAGATTGCGGTTCCATAATGTAATTATACAGAAGAAGAAAAATAGGGATTGGGGCGTGGGGATATGAAAGTATTGAAAACAGGAAACAATGTATTCTTTTTATCATAAGGTTCCAGTTTCATGAGAAATACAATCACACCTGAATCATACAACTCCATCTGAAAGGACAAGGAAAACAGGTAAAACTGAAATTTATTTTTGCATTTACAACATTTTTTTTTTAATTATTGAAGTATTTAACACAATCTGATTTGAAATTAATCTTTGTTCCCAGATTTCTCTTCTACATTCAAGTGCAGCTACATTGAGGTCCCATCTGACGTCACAAGAGACCCAAGAATGGCAACGTTCAAAACCTTTTGAAGTCTGCTTTTTTTCCACATTGTCTAGACAAAATGGCCTCTCTGACTTATCAGCTTAGGCTGCTTGGACTTTTTCTCTGTGCAGTTCAACTCATCAACAGCTACAGCTTTAAAAGCTGCATTGCAGATCCTTACCATATCCGAACAAGTTTTAAATGCCAAAATCGAAACTACACAAAAATATCTGATATAGTAAAAGATCTCCCAGAATCCGCTGTCAATCTCACAGCTTCTTTCAACCCTGTGCAGCACATTCCCAACAACAGCTTTGCTCATTTACCAAACTTACAGCATCTCAGTTTGGATCAGAACCAGCTGAATACTATTGATCCTTCGGCTTTCCAGACTCTGCATCAACTTAAGCATCTAAATTTGTCCTTTAACAATTTGTCAGACCTCAGCCCTTTGTTGTTTGAGGACCTGCATAACCTTACCTCCCTCTCGCTGACAAACAACGTTTTAAAGGTATTGCCTCAAGACATTTTCTCCAATGTTGCTAATCTAAAAACCTTAAATTTGAGGAATAACAATCTTACTTATTTTTCTGCAGTTGTGAAGTCGGTATCCCATCTAACAAATCTAACGTTCTTAGATCTTTCCTCCAACAACTTTACTTCACTCCGTGATTTAAATATATCTCTACCACAATCCCTCAAAGTTTTAAACCTATGTAGAAACAATCTGCATACTTTGGGATGTAATCCATCACTCTTCAGATTCATCCAGGTGCTTGATCTGTCATTTAATTCAAAGCTTTCCACGACAGCTTTGGAAGGAGTGGATTTGAGCAACGTAAAGAGGCTCCAGTTGCGGTCAACCAGTGTCAAGGCAGTGGAGCTTTTAAAAATCAGCAACATCAATGCAGGTCATGTTGTTTTCTCAGGGATGGGTTTAAAGGATGACAGACTACTTGGGGATTTATGCACAATGCTGAGAAGAAACCTGAGTTTGATTAAAAATATAGATTTAACACATAATGGCATTCATATTACAGCAAATTTCTCCATGTCCATGTGTCCTAAGATCATTGGAGCTTTGGATTTATCCAACAATAATCTGAAAAAAGTACACTGCTCGGACTTTTTAGGCAATCAAGTCAGTATCAAGACGTTTAATGCTGAGCACAACCATATTACTTCACTCGAAAGCTGTAAAAGGGCCCATTTTAACAACTTAAAAGAACTGAGCTACCGTTACAATCGCATCCTCTCTGTCAGTGGATATGCTTTCAGCCACATGCCAAAAATTGAGACGCTAAAGCTAAACATAAATAATGTTGCTTTTCTCCATCGCAAAGCCCTAAGAGGGCTGAAAAATCTTCAGACCCTCAGACTGGACAATAACCTCCTTACTGATTTGTTTAATGACACATTTAAAGATAATTACAACCTGCAAATACTCAATCTGCGCAATAATCGCATTTCTGTCATATTTAATGGGACTTTTATGAACCTAAGAAATCTTACTACATTGGACCTTGGAGGTAATAAGATCACCCAAATACATCCTTCTGGCCTTGATGGATTAAAAAGCCTTTCAAAATTCTACCTAGATGGAAACAACCTGAAACACATTGACTCGTCTCTCTACCATGCATTCCAAGACACGCTTACAGTGCTGGATTTACAAAAAAATCTCATTCATTTCTACAAAAAAAGTGTCATTTCACCATTTGTAAAACTCAGCAAACTCAGAGATTTGAAACTGGACAGCCAGAGAAATTATGGCCTTGTTGTTTTACCTCAAAATTTTTTCAAAGGACTCCACTCGCTACAAACTTTGTGCCTCACCAACAACAAAATAGATTTTCTTCCTCCTGAAGCTTTTGATGATCTGACAAGCTTAAATTTCCTCACACTGGATAACTGTTGTGTTGGAGTGGCCCAATTAAAACCAGGAGTCTTCAAGAATCTCAGAAATTTGACCAGGTTGGTGGTAGAAAATATGGGAATTCAGAACTTCTCCAAGGATGTATTTGGGAATCTTACACAGCTACGCATGCTGCAGCTAAATCGTAATGTGATGCAGAGCATTTCTGTAGATGCTCTCGAGAGTTTACCTCAACTCCATTATCTTGACATACGTAATGTCCCTCTTAGCTGTACCTGCAAAAACAGCCTTCTGCAAAATTACACAGTTAATAACCCAAATGTTCAGATAGTCTACCTCTACGACATGAAATGCCAAGTGGATAAAAAACTGAAATTTCACAACTTTGATACAAAGGTTTGCTATATTGATAAAGGAAAGTATCTGTTTTTCAGTACTGCAGTTGTGATCTTTCTATTTACAGTCTCTCCTTTGCTTTATGTCAAACTGTACTGGAAAATCAAGTACAGCTACTATGTATTCCGCTCCTGGTTTAGTGATCACTGGAGCAGATTCAGAGAGAAGGAGGAAAAGTGCAAATATGATGCTTTCATCTCCTATAATTTCTCTGATGAGGAGTGGGTCATGAATCAATTGTTGCCCAACTTGGAGGGAAACGGATCGTCTTTTAAGCTCTGCCTGCATCACAGGGACTTTGAGGTGGGTCGCTACATTGTGGACAACATCGTCACTGCAGTGTACAGCAGCAGAAAAACCATTTGTGTCGTGAGCAAAAACTTCCTCCAGAGTGAGTGGTGCTCTCTGGAAATCCAGCTCGCAAGTTACAGGCTCTTCGATGAGCACCGCGACGTCCTTCTGCTCGTGTTTCTGGAGCCAATTTCCGAGAGGCAGCTGTCATCCTACCACCGCATGAGGAAAGTTATGTTGAAAAAGACCTATCTTCAGTGGCCTGGCCCTGACTGCACTGATCCCTCACAGGCCCAAGAGCTGTTCTGGAATCAGCTGCGCAGGGCAATCAGAGCAAGCAACAGACTGGAAACCGAACAAAATGACACAGATGAAGACTTTGCTCGAACCAACAATGAAACAGGAAACTATGAGAAACTCTTATCGGACGATGACGATCATTTGCAACCTTAAACAAGTCCCCTTTGATTATTGGCACAAAATTTGTAATGCAATTGCAAATGTATATACATATTTTTTTTTATTCAGACACCAATACTATTTAGCATGTTATGATCAATTTATTTCTATGTTCATTTGCATTCTTACAGATTCTCAGATGTTCTGTCAAACAGTTTTTCCACAAATGGACATCTTGTCTGGCAGTCACAATAAGTGAGAAACAACTTAGAAACAACTTCCTAAACAACATTTTCTAAGCCAAAAAAAACTCAAGTTTCTTAGAGTTGTACACTTTTGTGCATGTATTTGTAATGTAGCACTCAGCATAATAAAAGGTGTTCTAAAGATGCAAACAATGCATAATTGGTTGTTTCCCTTCAATGAACATAAATTGAACCAAAAATAGTTTGTGATGTCACCTATTGTTTTTTTTAGTGTGTGCTTCAAATTGAGCACACATGAATACTTTGTCTTGATGGTACAAAACTCAGTGAGGGATGTCAGCAGGTAGTTGTCCATTCAGAGCTTAACCACGTATTAGTATAGTCTCATAGGAGGAAAAGTCCAGTGCTCTGGACTTCGTAAGGATAAAGATGGAGGTGCCAGGTTTCTTTCAAGCATGTGTGATGGGGGGTAGTGCATCATGCCAGTAGGATCTGGCCAAAAATCCTGGTGAACAGGTGAAATCTGACCAAAAGCCTGTAAGTGATCACTCTGCGGTCGGCTGTGACTTTTTGATGGGAAGAAGGGATCAAAATAAAACCTGTCAGTTTCAGATGAGTTCTGTTCCCAGGGAAAAACATGCAGGTCTGCTGAATGTCTATCTTGGTGGGAAAAGGAAGGCTGGACGTTGCTATGATGCGTCTGTTGCTCACTGAGCCGCTCTCTCACGTTCCTAGTTTGGTTCACAAAATTTTTTTGAAACGAATCAAGCAAATCTGACTCCTGAGTCTTACATTTGTTGGTTTCCCAAAGTTCAGGCCCTGAGACATTGTCTACTTGGCATGATATGGGAGAGCGAGCAAAAATGTCACTCACTGAGGTTCCAGAAGGCTCAAAGTCCATTTGAAGAAAGGGAAAGGAACCAGGTTTAAAGGTTTCATCCAAGGGTTTGACGAAGGTGTCCACAGGGTTTGCAAACTCTTCAGTAATCTTAATAAAAAAACAACAGAGAATATAGTGTTTAACATTAAAAAGCATTTTTCAAAATATAGCAATAAAAAAAGTTAAAATGAAGTTTGAATGAAAAAGTCTAAAGCTGAAAATGCCCACTGTGTTTTCTTCTCTCAATCCTACTTTTTTGCTTGTTTATGCAGTCTGACATACTGTATATAAACCTGAAGCAATAATAAATATTGAGTTGTACCTCTATTTTTGAAATAATAAGGATTGTAGCGTTAAACTCAATACCTGTTGTAGAGTGTTGCATGTCTGAGGGCTGGATGTCCAGCATAAATGTTCACTTCCTGTGGTTTTCACAGATGCATCTGAAAGAGGGAAGCAAAACTGAAGAATTGCTGTAAATCCAAGTATATACTACTGCTTTTTAAAACAAATTATATCTATGCACATGTATTGTAATTTGTTGCTAAGCTACAACTCATGGCATGAAAAAAATTTCAACCCTGGTTGAAGCATCAACACCATTTGAAGCTGTCATAAATAAAGCCAAAATTTAGATTATTATTTTCTTCAACTACATTTGCCCCAAAAACAAATCTCTTTTAAATAACCTACTTTCAAAATAGTAGGCTATTTAAAACCTAATTTAAAAATAATTAAGAAAACCTTTGAAAAAAATATTTTTTTCTTCACTGATTGATGTGTTTCCATGAAAAGGTTTAGGATATTTTTAATGATTGCTCACTACAGAGCATATCATTATGTAACATGATTGTTCAAGGCCAAAGATTCCTATAGTATGATCATAAAGAGTAAGATTACTAAATTGTTCTGTTTTAAAAAGCCATCCAAAATTATGCTGTGATCAGAATTAAAGGGTCAAACTATGAACTACTATTTCTTAGAAAGTTAAATGTTAAACATAAAAATTAAGTAAATGTAATTTTTTTACCTGTAGGAAAAAGCATGTCATCCCTAATCATCTGTTCTTGCTCATTTGAGACCTGTGAAGGATCTTTATGAAATCTAAGCGATCGCTGCATCTCCTGGAGGTTGGCCTGAAGGTGGGGCCCATGTCTTTCTTGCAGGGTTTTTAGTAACACCTCCCTGGTTTTTGACGATAAGTTTCTCCTGTTTGGAACTGGAAGATGCAGCCATTCACTCAAAAGTTCTGCCACTTCATGTGTGGTCTTCCATACGTTGTTTGGATCTTGGTGTAAGTTCTGTTGGTCAAAGTTGTCAGCAGAGACTGAGGTAACATGCAGTGGACTTGATACTAGATAATCTGTTTGAGATGAAGAGTCCTGGTCTTCATTTATTGTCTTGTTCACAGTCTTGATTTTATCTTTAGTATCAAGAGGCTTTGGATGTAAGGCTTTGTCCATTCCAGACATACAACTCTCTGTGTGTTTGGTCTTTGTTGTTTTGAAGCGGCTTTTAGATTGGTTGGTGCTTTTCAAACTTTCACAAGAAGAGGGAAGTTGCTGATGAAGTCTCTGACTGGATGTGATATCTGCCCCTGGATTGCTGAACTGCAGGTTTGTCATTTCAATATCTTGGGAGTCATCATTGGTCTTAGAACCAGTCTTTGCTTTCTTTTTATCTGGTACATCAGTGTCAGCACCCAGCAAACCATAACTGGAGAGCACAATGGGATTATGAGGTGTTGATGATAAATAGGGGGTGTTATTGTTGTCATTTGTTTTTTCCTCACTTTGTTCAAGTTTACTCTGCTCACTTAGCACACGTTCAATATTGATGGACTTCACCTCATGGTTGAAGAGACCATGATGTCCTAAGAGGCGGCTTTCTGTGATGATACTCGGCTCCTGTGAAACAGTGCTTAAAATTTGTGTGTTCTTCCTTGTGGCTGAATGACAACTGTGGTGATTGTTTGAGTAAAATGGATTTTTTTTCTTGCTTTGGGAAAAACAGTGATGGTGGTGTGACTTGTGTTTTGAGGTGTCTCTCCTGTCAGCTCTCATCTGACATCTCTCCTTGCGGGTCCTAAGGCGTTTTGTTTTGTGCCGCTTGTCTCTTTCATGGTTAGAATATTTTGAGTCCCCAGTCAGTGCGGTGGCACAACACTTTTTATCTGTTGCTTTTGACTGATTGTTGTATAAGTAATTTTTTTCTGATGAAGACCTGCCACATTCGTGGCTCATGCTGCAAGGGAATCTGTGGAAAGATAACATAAACTGATAAATGAAAATATTTGTCTCCTCAGGAAAACTGCAATTGAGATTTCTCGTAGCTATTTTTCAACAATTTAAATTCTTCCACACAGGCAGATGGCCATTTCTTGTTAAGTCTGCAGTCATGTAATGTGCTTTCCATTTTCAGACAAGGGATTGAACAGTGCTTTAGAAGATGTTCAAAGATTGAGAGATTGTTTTATAACCTAACACTGCTTTACATTTTTGCCATGTTCCTTTAAAATAAATAAACTTTTGAAAACTGGTCTAATTTATTGGATATGACTGAATTTCGTGCTACCCCAAAACAACCTGAAATCCCCTATTTCATTGATTTTAAGGGAAGCTTGTGGAAATTGTGTTAATAAGCACAGCACAGCCGATACGAAGAGCGTAATATTTGCTTAAAATTGATGTCAACAGCAGTTTCCCCCAATTAAAAACTTTCTGCTGTCATTGCTTTACATCAAAAGGGCTCAACAAGCAAGAAGAAATGTATTTGCTGAAACAAATGTTTCAGGGTACCAAATAAAGTTCAACAATTTTCAGGACTATCTCCAAACACCAAAGGAATTAAACAAACAGATCAGGTTGTCAACAGTGCAAAACTTGCTTGGGAATGACATCTGGAAAGTGGGAATGTTGCTAGAAGTACTAGAGGAGCACCAAAAAAGGCATATCCTCAAGAAAAGCATCAAGGACCAATCACATTCAAGATTGGGGTGCAAGTTGACTACAGTAAAAGTATTCCTCATAAAAAAACAACAACAAAAAAAAAACATGTAGAATAAGACTGTCTGGAGAAGAAAAGAGTCATCTAATACTGACAGTGAATTATTCAAAAACCACTCATAAATTGCCTAAAAATCCTGCACTAATTAAAAATAGTATCAAACTATTTTTGAATCAGAAGTGGGTTCGTCAGACAATTCAGAGCTAATTCTGGCGATGAGTGATGCTTTTCACTGTACAAAAATGGAATCAGCCTCAAAACTAAAGTAAGACATAAGTGGCTTAGGGACCAAAGCATTCAAATCCCAGGTTCATGTCCATATACTTTTCAGAACCTGTTACCACTCTAGTAATGTGATGCACTATTTAATGAATGCCTTCGTTAATTGTTTAAATGCATATTAACTTCAAAGTGTCATACAAACATCTGGCAAATATTGTAAATAAATATAAATAAATAAACTCTGTACGACAAAAAAGCAGCATTTTTGTCTGTTTCAAAACTTTTGGGGATGACTGGCCCCTAAAAAAGGCTGATTATAAAACAGTAGTACATTTAGGAGAAATTAACTGTGCAAACGTGCACAAGTGCAAATTCTAAGAATCTATCTGCAGCTGCTGATGCAAACCACAACTTTCAGAGATGGCAGACTTCCCATAGAAATCTGAGTACCATCTCTTCACGTTATTTTGGAAAAGGTCCGCAACAAGTCCATTCCTGCCAGAAATCACAAGTAATTAACTTGAGATGGAGCAGACAAAGCCCTTTTAAGGTTACAAAAGCAATGGTGGCAAGCACCATTGAGTTTTTCTTCAAACTTTAATTAGGACATGCTACTTTTGGTCCTGTTGCATTAAGTAGAGCCACGTGTATGTAATTTTCAATAACCCTGCATGATATCAGGAAGCTAAGCAAAGGGCCACCTGAAACACAACACCAGCAGCACCAACTACTCATAAGAAAATGAGTCACCAAGTGCGAGTCATAGGGAAATCAAACCACAACGGAAACAGGGCATCCACAACTCTGTGTCAAACTGACATACACATGTGACAGAGTTTCCGCACTAATTATATTAGGTCTGACAGCATTTGTGGATTCATACGTTTAATAAACCTTTATTTCTGGGATCGTCCCATCAGTTAACGACGGTTAGCCAGCTGGTAACGTCGACCAACAGGTGTAATCTAATCTAAATCAAATCTGAATTAAATAGCTGCTGTGGATTATAAAAAAAAACAAAACAGACACACCTATATAAAAACGAATACATTTACTTTAAATGTACGTTAACATTTAGTGACTAGAGAACATGAAGGTAGTATTATACAGTAACATAAAAGTGTTTAGACAACACTTGTGCCTTACCGAAATAGTCCGGTTATTTTCCCTCACCCTTGAATCTTTCGTTGCTTGGCAACACACCGAATCTGCGTTTCTTTGCGCAGCCTAACGGCGCAGAACTGACACCCTCGAATGACGACTGGATGGGCGAATCCATTTTTGGCAAACAATGGGGTAGACCCGTCAAATTACTAATCATATGTTTCCGCTTAAACTGTGTATATTTTTGTAATTTTTTAACAAACTTCATCCCAGTATTAAACTAAAACACTTTTTGACCGTACTATTAAAATTAAAATTGAAAATGCGTGGAGATATTGATGTTGTCGCTCAATGGGGACAATGGTTCAGACACACAGTAAAAATTGACTTCCTGTAACGGAACTGGAAGATATCGATATTTTTTATTTAATGTTAGCCATTTTAAATCATTATTTCTGAATGTAAGGGTTGTTTGAAACTTTTCCGTACTCCATTCTGCACACAACAGCCTTTTTACATATTCAGTGCCTGACCTTTTATGTTTTAAGCTGCATCTGTTTGTACTCTACCAAGTAGGTTAGCTACTGTGGCTAATTCTGCAAGCCTCCATAGATTTCTGTAGCATACAGCGGTTGGCGCTTAGCTGACTGGTGTGCATTGTGTTGACAAAACAGAAACAAAACGCTGCGTGACCGCGTCGTAAGAAAGGTAAAACCAAAACTATGGATGCAGAAGCCTCAAACCCAGCCGCCACACCCACTCCCTGTGAAGACAGTCAGGGAGATGGACGGTGGATGTCTCAGGTATGTGACAAAACGTGACCATCGTGAGGATTGGGTTACTTATTTATTTCGATTATATGCATATAAGATAATATCAATAAAGGTAAATGCTATCCTTTAATAATTGCTTGATTTCAATAATTTACTAGTTAATCTGCTGAGATTTTTCATCCATTACCCCAATCTTATTCCAAGCAATTGCCCTCAGACTGCCAAAGTATAATCAAATATCCTATGTTTTTTTGTTTGTTTGTGTTTTATTATTTATAGTTTGCATAACTTTGACGGTTGTATGAGTAAACAAATGATAAGTATATTATCTCCTTGCAGCACGTCCGCTTTGTTTCTGAGTGCAAAGAGAGAGAGCCAGATGTCGTATTTGTGGGAGACTCTCTTGTGCAGCTCATGCATCAGTTTGGGGTAACATCACAGGACACATTCATACACAGTTCTACCTTAAATTAGAATTTAAGAAATGTGTAATTGTAGTGAATACTTGTGTGCTCAAGTTTGCTGTAGCAAAATTAAAACAAAACGGGTCAATGAAATGGGGAAAGAGAACACTGTTAGAAAAAAAAACACACTTGAATGCAAAGTGTGGACATGCATAGCAGAAAACAGAGTCATAAAAGACTATTCTGTCAGATTAAGACAAATTTAATACACCTGACTATGCAAGATTAAAGTACAATGAGTCAAAAGAGACTGTCAGTGTCAGCTGATATAATAAACCTTTTCATGTGAAGAAATTGTATATTCTGCAGGGCTTCAACCAATCACCTGATTTCTCTAGACAAAGCAGTGTTTATTCTACAGAAGACAAACCCAAGGCCGGAAAAGAACCCTCATTGATAACTGAAAACAGCTGAAGTAAAAACGTGAAAATGACATTTTATATATAAAAACAAAATCTACTTTTAAGATCATTTAATTTGTTTGAACCTGCCCCCAAATTTTCTTCTGCTTATTACAGAGTTTACATTTATGAGCACACTATATTTAGTGGTCATTTTAACATCTTAAAATGAAACTTTCCAAAATTGTGTTCCTGTGTAACTGTAAGCCAAGATGCATAAAAAAAGCAAGTTTGATAAATTCCCATATGTTTTTCTACAGATATGGCGGCAGTTGTTCTCTCCTCTCCATTGCCTTAACTTCGGAATCGGTGGAGATGCAACACAGCATGTGCTGTGGAGACTGAGCAATGGAGAACTGGATAACATCAGCCCAAAGGTTGAGAACCCTGCCAGATATAGAGAACATGAGCTTGCTTGTTTTTGCTCACAAAAGACTGCTTGTGCTCCATTTCCAAGCTCCAGGTACAGTGACGCCAGACTATCAGTGGCATGTCTCTTTTTTGTTGCTCCAGGTCGTGGTGCTGTGGGTTGGCACGAACAATCACGGTCACACAGCTGAACAGATTGCCGGGGGTATCATGGAGATTGTCCAACTCATCCACAACAAGCTCCCCAACGCCCACACGCTTGTACTTGTAAGTTTGTCCAGAGAAATGCCTTTTCGGTGCTTAATCAGCTTACCTTCATGTCTGGAGATAAGAAAAAACAAATGAAGTTCACACAACCATCAAACTCTAAAGTTATGTCACCTCTTTTAGACACATCTGAGCTTTCTCAATTATTGAAAACATTAGTTTCCTGGAGACAGTGCGGTTTAACACTGGACTTGTTTTGGAGAGGGAGTTGAGATTATGTCAAGACAATGCATGCTTCACAGCCTTTTAAACTTTTAGGTATTTCATGTTATATGCACTCAAGGGCAGTGTGTTGCAAGAGCATTCATAAACGTTTCTACATTTTGTCACAATGCAACCACAGACTTTAGTGTATTTTAGGTGATTGGCCAACCCAAAGCAGCACACCATTGTGAAGAGGAAGCATAAAACAGTGTGGTTTCTAAAGTCTTTTACCATTAAATCTGAAAAAGTGTCAATCATGTGTGTGAACCCGCGATTGACTGTATTCACGATATTTTTCTACGTTTCTGTACGTCTGTGGAGTGTCATTTTTTTCTTTGCAGAATAGAACCAACCACAGTCAGACTATATAGATGGTCTGTAAACATTTTACTTTTTTTTAAATATACTGTCATTTTTAGACATGAAAACACTCTCCTACATAGTTGAAATATTCTGTGACAATTGCATCAGATATCTGGATATAATTATAGTACTTTGAACATCTATTTGTTTGAGGTGGAAATTAATGCGATGTGTAAATGCAACTTTCCTTCAGACTTCTTGACATATGTAAATACAATAAGTCTATATGTCTACTTTTCCAAAGTTGCTCAGGGAATTACACCATCTCTTTTGCAGGGTGTTCTTCCCAGAGGTAGAATGCCAAACCCTCTACGACAGCGAAACGCCGAGGTGAACGAGCTAGTCCAGGATGCCTTATCGTCTCTGTCCCACGCCTCCTTCTTTAACGTGGATCCAGGTTTTGTCCTTTCGGATGGAAGCATCTCCCATCAGGATATGTATGACTACCTTCATCTGACTGCTCATGGATACCAGGCTGTGTGTGAACCCCTGCATGCTCAAATCAAGTCTCTGTTAGAAAAACCAGCGGAGAACTGAGTATCCGGCTTAGAAGCGTACACTACCCAGTGGTCTTCGTCCCTGTTTTCAGAGAGCATTGCCCTCAGCTTTATAAGGCTTTGGATGTTGGATAGAATCAGTTAATTATAAGGGCTAAGAGCATCATTTAATCTGTATAAGCCTTCTCTATAACCAGGGTTGGTGACCACTGTTATTGATAAGCGGACCATAAGGTTTTTTTGTGTTTACGATACAGTCAAAGACGAGATGTGTTATATTATAGAGAGACGGTGTCATTCTTGACCCCTACAGCTTCGTATTCCATCTCTTTTAGGGTATTTTTTGCATGAAATTTATAATTTTCACTGTTACAACATATGCAGATGAACATGAAGAGGGCATCTCCACACAGCACCGGTAAAAGAAAATCGGATAATTTCACATCCTCATTTTCTGTGATAAGACGTTAGAATTATGTGTCAACTTTCCAGTCGAATTCATTCTTCAGGTCAATTACTGCAGAGTAATTGAAAAAACCTTGTCTATGAATAAGTGTTGCACATCTCATCCCTTTTGCTCCATGAACCTGCAAATTTTCTGAGGGATTAATGAATTAAATATTTCACTACTACACTGCCTTTCTGACGGAACTGGATCAATGTCCAGTTGGAAACTGGTTTGAAACCCCTCAGATTTGTGCCAGAATTTGCATGCATGCTAGACACAGCAAACCCTCTCACTTGACCTATTCTTTCTTTGTATCATTCATTTCTATGGGTTGGTTTTATTTTATTTTTTATTTTTATTTGATTTTGGTCTTTGTGGTAGGAAAAGCTGAGGTGGTATACGAAGTGTTGAAGATGGCTTTGCTTCATGGTGATCCAGGAATCTTGATGAAAGTTTCTTGAAACAAACTGGAAAACAACCATCATTCATGATGCAAAATCAGACAGTGCTTTAAAAATGTCTGTATCTTTACTGTGACTTTATTTTTTCCTTTTGTATATGTTAAGTTCCATGAACAAAAAGTTGTCTTTGTCTATGTGGCGAATAGTTTACCAGTCAGTTTATTTTACATCATGTCATGTTACCTCTTTGCCTTCATACCTTTTTCTCCTCACATATTGTAATGGCAGTAGAGTTCCATGTTAGTGGCTGTGTATTTCCTGTGATCATAAATGTATTAGATTCATCGAGTTGCTTGTGTTTCAAATTTGAACTTTTCTGCAACATAATGGCTCACTCACCCATTTAAGATGCTTTACTTCATACTATGATGCTTGGGAGCCGCTTGGATAAGCAAGGTGTCACGGAAACTTGAAACGGTCAAGGATGAGTGATTGTGCAAGTGATGAAAGAAATGCATTAAATTTCCAAACAAAACGGTTTCAGTGTCAGCTGACTGATTTTATGTGATCTCTTTTTGTTGAAATTGACATACTGACATCCACTGAAGCAAAGCTGCAGTACATTTTAATGTCTTCAAGATTGATTGCTAACCATTAGGTTCAGTAAGAGTACACGCACGACTAAACACTTTTGCTTGCACAGGTTTGTTCTTTTCCCAGGACACGGTTTTACATTATCTGAAAACAAGAACATTTTATGCTATGTTAGTCTCAAAAAGCCACACTATACACTTCATTCTTTTAACATTTTGCACAAATGCCAAAATATTGCAAATACTGTAAGGGGCATTTATGTTTTACCCACATATGAAATCCAGTACAACTGTTTTTTTTTTTTTTTTTTTTATGAAATGAACACTAATAGCATCCATTTGTAATTTAATCTCATTATTAATCCAGTTTTTTCATAATGTCCTCCAAGTTTTGTTTAGAGAACAAACTAAACAGGTCAGGGAGAAAGTTGTAGTAAATTTAAAGTGGGGTTAAATAATATCTCAAGTTTAAAAACTTAATAGAGCTCAGTTCAATCTTCTGAAAATGGAATGGAGTATGGGACAACTGGAAATATACCAAGAGATAATGGCTCACCTGTAATTTGAGAATAAAGAGATCAAATATAAACTACCTGGTTAGGTCCACACAGTGCAGTAACAAAACACCGTATTTAGGGGGAACTGGTGGAAGGGTCATGCAGTGGTGAGGCTTTTCTTCAGAAGTGAAAGGAAAACTGGACAGACTACAGGGGAGAATGGAAAAACACTGTTGCAGTGTACAAAGGAGTAGGGACTGCAGCTGAGGTTCAGCTTTCAGCTGGTTAGTCATCATCAGCAAACAGCCAAAAGTTTAATTGTGTGGTTCAGTTTAAAACATGTTTATGCATTAAAGTGACCCAGAAGTCCAGATCAGGGGTCCTTTGAAGCCTCCACAACGGGTTTTAATAACTTTGACTAAAAATGTTATGTCTTTCATATAACAGCAAAACATAAGATTTTGAAATCAAGGACAATTTTATTTCACAATGTAAAATAATGCTAAAATTATTGAAATTCTGATTAAATGAAGCATAAGCTTGATTTCAATACTCCAATAACAATTAGTCCATGTCAGATTTACATGACAGCGGTTAATCCATCGGTCGACATCAGTCAGCTGACATGGTTACTGCTGGATCTGAAACCATAATCAAATTTAAGTTGTATCTTAAAGCAGTTTTTTTTCCCAAGAAGCTTTAAGGCAAGTCTCAAAAATAAACAAGTAAGACACACTAATATAATTTATAATCAGTGATTTTTAAAAAAACTAAATCAAAGTAATATGATCACAAGTTAATCTTTTAATGAACAAATTCCAAGGTTTTGTATTTCAGGTCAGTTCAAGCTGCTATTTTCTCACAGCTACAAGCTATTACTCAAACCAGATAAGATTTCTTGGCAAGTGTTCAAGTCCCTTCTCAAAAAATGATGGGTGGGACAGGCTTCATCCTGCTGGCTGGGGATGAATGTGTGACGGATGTGATTTCAGACACAAACACCAACCTTTATAAGGAGCCAGATAAACTGGTGTGGCTCTTATTTGCTTTCCTGAAACTGTAATTAGGAGCAAGAGCCGGATTTATTTTACTGAACAAACTGAAAATCCTGACTTCACAAAAAATGGGGCCGCAACAGATTTTGCTGCTTGGGCTTGGATTGCTCATTCTGATTGACTATGGCCAAGGTACAGTATCTAATTAGATGTAGATCTAATTTTATAGTCCTTTCAAATCTTGGTAGTGTTCTTGTGAGATGTTTGATGCTTAATTTTTATTATATAGATATCTTTTCTCCTCATAGGTCTTTCTAAAATTAAGGAAGAGTCCCTGGTTGATGGTCCAAATACTGATGGTATGCAGAGTTGATTTTTTTCAAAACAAGTCAGTAATTATACAACTAAATTTTTCTTTTACTTTACTTTGCATTTTTATTTGTTACAGTCTTTGCTGTTGGACTCCATAAGATAACGTCACGTTCAATCCACGGCAAAAAATACAAAAAAAAAAACTGCCGCTGTAAAAGTGAGAAAAAGTTTATTATTGAAGACCGACACTACAAATAATAAAAAAAGTATGTTAGCCTAATCCGTTCACTTTTCTTCTTTTGCCCTCCAGCTGCTGCAACAGGAAACGGGTCAGAAAAAACAACTTGCCAGAGCGACCCTGGACAATGTGAGTTCCTCACAGTTTTGTATAAACACAAAATAAACTGCATGATTTTAAATTTCCCACAAATTATTGACTTTTTTTTCCTCTGTTCATTTATTTGTTGTAAAAACTAGTGAACCAGTGCATCAAGACATGCAAGAGTCCAAGAAGGTGCAAGTCGAAGCAACCCAAACCCCAATCCAGCCCTCTCTGAGCAACGACGCCTCCTTGTGGCATGTAATAATACATACTTTGACTGTTACGTAATTTTTTAAATTTTTTTAATATTTTTTTTTTGCATAAATATTTTACATTTTAAACAGAGTGCTGATTACATTTTGCAGACAGTTTGCCCATATTACCACAAAACTGTTATAACCTCTTCAATAAAGTCTCTGTAATCAATGTTTCTGTTTATTTTGTTGATTAGCAAGTAAAAATCAGCAAATAAGTGTGTAATAACAATACCTTACATTAAATATGACAATTAGTTAATAATTAATAGGTTATCTAAGGGAAAGATCAGGTATTAAGTGTGAAAAACCTGTCATTTGTACTGAAGGATTTGCAGGCTACATAAAAGAATTATACTCATGAATCTTATTGTAAAACAGTACATATATGCCTCGTACCATGTTTGTACAAGGTACATAAAATTAACAACAGTGATAGGACTGGAGAACCATATAAATTATTCAATTTTAACCAAAACATAGAGATTGTTGTGTCATTTCAGTAGAAATATTGTGAGATTGCTGTAGAAGGCTGTAGCGGGAGCAAGTGGTCTGTCAGCCGGGACTCAAAGGAGGAGCAGGTGAACAAGGACAGAACACAAACCCATGAGCAGCACAGCTCCTTTGTTTGTGATGCGGGTTGCAGAGGCATGAGCTGATAAAAAAGAGAATTAAACAGAAATGTTACTAGGTTGTAAAAAATATTAACTAATTATATAGGTTTCACATTTCTTTGACACCCTCGTTGATAAGTATCTAAGCATCTATATATCAAGTTTATAATTTACAGTGAAGTCTTTAAGAATAACTTGAAAAACGGTCCTGCATCATTCTCAGAAAAAAAATTGTCTTTAAAGACTTTCTCACCAAGACTGTTGACACCACCAGTAAGACTTACTCACCTTCAATAGCAACAGTTTTATTTTGCATCATTGTGATGTTTGTCACTGGGTTTGTTGCGCTGCATATGTATTTCCCTTCTTGTCCTCTAGTTGCAGAGAAACGGAAAACAGATCCATTCTGAAGAGGTGATGATGATTGATTATTTAAGAACCAGAGGAAGTTACACTCCGGGTAAGACTCAGCAGTGCATGTCAGAGACACAGAGGCACCTTCTTTTGCTGAGTCTGGACCAGAGATGTTCATATTCAAAGGACCATCTGCAAAAAGAAATAGTATGTTAAATACATTAATACTGTAGGTTAGTATTTTGAAACAAAATTCCCAAATTAACTTTAAATTTTCCCATAGGGTGTAATATGTACACCAACAAGCTATTTAAAACATCTTTTCTAACTGCACAACACATCAACCCTTGAGGCAGAAAACCACACAGATACTCCTGAAATTTTGTTGTGCTTCTGTACAATAACAATAAAGCATTCTGGCTCTTATAACTAAGAACACAAAACTATTCACACAAATAGTGTCTGAATGGTTTTGAAAACAGATCCATTCTTAAGTCCTAAGAATAAATGTTCAACATTCAGATTGTAGGGTTGGAATTTAATCTAAACAACGTGAAAGCATAGTTGGGAAGTGGAGCATTGACACACCATTTTTTATCAATTTGAACATCAGTAAAATTCGAGGTATATTTTTGCTGACTGTGTTCATCCTTTAATGTCCACAGTGTATCCATATAGCTACTTACAGCAGGATGATGCACTATGTCAAAAAAGCCAAATTATCTCAAGCTGGTCTTCCTCTGTCCCAATTTACCTCTATTATTATTATCTCTATATAGATTTCTGACACCTTGCTGAATATATTTCTCAAAGAATTAAGTTTGTTTTAGAGATAAAAGTTTATATCCTTGTATTGGTAACATGAACCCAATGAAGTACTTGGTGAATGAATACCAAACTAAAGTTGTTCATGATTAAACATTGCTAATAATTCAAATTTTCTAAAAGATTATTTTAAAAAACCCACTCAACTTTCTGTGATACTTACAGTTTACAAGAAGTGTGTACTTTAGACTCTTATGATGGGCGGCCCTGTTGGTAGCGACGCACTGATAGGCCCCATTACTCTGTCTAGTCAGGGGGTTGATGTGCAGAATGTTCTTTTCAGTAATGTACATGGATGAGGCTGGGTTGCAGGCATTCAGGTTGAGCTGCATGTCATCTTTCATCCAGTAGAGGGTGTCATAGGGCCCAACAACGTGACATATGAGGGTAAAGTTTTTATTGTTTATTGGAGTCGAATTGGTTTGAATCATTACTGAATGTATTGGTTCTGTAAATACAAAATAGGGGAAAAAGAGATTATTAGTTATATAGGGTTTTAGCATCATAGTCAACATTGTTATATTTGAATAAATTATGTTAAAATGTCAATTTTGTCATTTTACACTTTCATTTAGGATTTAATACCTATAACGGTGAGCGTTGTTGATGTTGTGCTGTTCTTTCCTGTCACATGATTGTGGGCCATACATGTATATGTGCCACTCATGTTGAAAGCCAGAGGCCCAGCTGTGAACTCAGAGGTATTGGCCATCAAAGAGTCGTTAAACCACCAACTGTAGGTGCTGGGAGGCGTCGATTTGGCAGAACAGTTGAAGACCACGTTTCGTCCCGCTTCCCCAAAATCCGGTCCATTAATTATGGGTTTCTCGGGCCCAACTAAAAAGCATCAACAGTCACATCGTAAATGTCTTTTTTCACCCATTTTTAAAGTGTGATACAGTGTTGAAAATATTACAAAACCTTTTTTAACCCCGACTTACACCTAAAATATTTTTGTTACTTTTTAGCTCCATTTTGAAAGAAAGAGTCTTTTCTCTCCTATTTTTCAGACATTTAGAAAATAGAAACATTATTTGTGATTCTAACTGATAAAAAATACAGTTCTTGTAAGATTTAATTTTGTATCATGCACAATAGAATAGATATTGTCAGTACATAAATAGATAAATTTAAATATTCCACTTACAGATGACCTGAAGCATGTAACTGCTGCTCATCAGGTGTCCAACAGCATTCATAGCCTTGCATTGATAGTCTCCAGCATCATAACGATCGACTGGCATAAACATGACTGTCTTGTTGTCCTTAGAGAAAACAGTACTGTTGTCTGGATGCAATTGTTCACTATTTTTCATCCAGTAAATATTATCCACAATTCCAGTTACATTGCATGTTAAATTATATGAGTAACCTTCCATGGCATCCCATGTTGGTGTATCTATTTGTGCGTTTTTAATTGATGCTGAAAAGGAAACAGGACGGAAATTAGTTAAAAACTGGCCTTAGTTCTCTTTGTTTAATGACGTTGATCAAGTCATGTTTTACATAACCTGCATCTACATAATCTTACCAATAACTGTAATTGTTATGCTGGCAGTGCTGTTTTTTCCAGTGATGTTGTTGAAGGCCATACATATGTACTTTACACTCTTCTCTTCAATAAAAGGAGGTGTCATATACTCCGACATGTTGGAAACCAGAGAATCATTGAAGTACCATCTGTAGGAGCTTGGTGGGAATGATGATGCATTGCAGGAAAGTGTTGCATTGCTTCCTGTCTTCACTGCGTTTGGTCCTGAGATAGTTGGCACCTCTGGTCCATCTGTGCATATAGACAATTTTAAACCCTTTTCACCTCATAAACAATGCACTTGTTCTACTTTATCTTCTAAAATTGCAAAGCAAAGTGATTAAAGCAAACATTAAAGCAAACATGACATTGTGTGAGAGATTAGTGACATCTGGTGGTTCAATGATGAACTGCATTCAGATTCTTTACCAAGGTTGTAGGTAGAAGTTCAACAGAATTAAAATTTAAATGCTCCTGTCATCATAATGGCATCTTGGTGGGGGAAGACAGTCATGCTAAAATCACTCATAGCAATGTTATAATCATGCTTTAAGAACTTTCTTGATAGTATATTTCCGGGATTTGTTTCAAAAGTGTCTAAAATAGACAAAGAATCTACAAACAAAAAAGAATGGAAGCACAGAAGTTTACTATTTGGTTAAGAATTACTCAAACTGAATCTTGACTAGTTTATCTGGGTAAATTAATGTACAGAACAATTCAAGCTCTCTTAATATCTGCTGATGTTTTGTAATGGCCCCCAAGAACCACTCCTATGTTACCAATGTCAAATACATCATGGCAGTTTATGCAAAGACCATGTAATGATCTTTCAAATCATAATAACATTTGCATTTAGGTCAGAGGTTATGTGCATGCCTGTGTAAAGATGCAGTGCACCATCAATAATCTTTTTGTTTGATACGCAGAACGATGCATGTAAAACATCTGATATAAAAGTAAATCAGCAAAGTTGAAAGGTTGAGTAAACTTTTTTTTGTTTAAAATTTTTACACTGCCCTGATTTTCTAATACATTATCACTCGTTTTATATTTAAGATTCACAGTAGACATTTTTCACTGAACAATTCCTGGCAAAGCATCACCTCTCACATTCATTTTCAATTTAAATAATCACAACCTTTGGTATAAATTACTACTCTGTGCAACAAATTTAAAATGTTATTATTGAAGTTGGCTTAATACAGCAAAGCTAACAAAAATGAACTAATTAGCCAAAGAGAAATTGAAACTGTAAATTGCTTGACAGTAAACATAATTGTTCATACTATTGTACACTAATGTAAATGTTTCCTTGCATTACTGATAAGAGATTACCTGATATGGTGCTACAAGAAAAAATTTTGGCTTAAAAATATTATTCAAGAATGTACGACTTAATGAGAGTTAAATATGATACTCACAGTTGACAAGAAGTTTGTAGAGAGCGCTGGTCATGTTTCCCACAGCATTTATTGCGACACATTGGTAGTATCCAATGTCAGAACGATTCAATGACAGGAACATGACTGTCTTGTTCATATAGAAAACGATTCTGTTGTCTGCATGCAGCAGTTCACCACTTTTCATCCAGTGGATATAATCAGCAGGCCCAGTTACTTTGCATGTTAAATTATATGAACAATTTTCCATGGCACAATTCATCTGAGCTTCTATTTTCACACTGTCTATTGGATCTGAAAAGTGACCACAACCCACAACATTTAAACTTTTGGACTACACATCATCTCAATAAACAAGGACTATATGAATTAAAATATCTCCGGGCAAGTCTCACCAACAACTGTAAGCATTGTGACGGCACTGCTGTTCTTTCCAGTGATGGTGTTTAAGGCCATGCAGGTGTAACCTTTGGCCATTTCTTGTGTTAGAGGAGGTGTCATGTACTCAGACATGTTGGAGACCAGAGAACCATTGAAGTGCCATTGGTAGAGACTTGGAGGAACGGACTTTGCATAGCATCTGAGTGTGGCATTGTCCCCTGTCTTTACTGCTCTTGGTCCCATGATGACTGGCATCTCTGGTCCATCTGAAAACATTAATCTTAGTTGTTGACAACTTTCGGATGACAAAAGAGCTTATTGTCATCATCATGTTTTACTTACAGTTGACAAGGAGCATGAAGGGTTTGCTGGTCATGTTTGACACAGCATTAGCAGCCATGCATGTGTAGTTTCCAGTATCATTACGCTGCAAGCTCATGAAACTCATTGTCATATTTTCCATGAAGATCATAATTCTGTTGTCTGGAATCAGTTTCTCACCGTTTCTCATCCAATAAATATGATCAACAGTTTCATTTACACCGCAGGTTAAATTATAAGGATGACCTTCAACTGCGAAATTCATCTGAGCTTTGATTTGAACATTTCGTATTGGATCTAAATACAAAAGGCAAAATTCACAGTTGTTAGAGTTCTTGTCGGTTGCTTTTCTTCCCAAGATAAAATATCAATCTAAATCTCACCAATAACTTTAAGTATTATGCTGGCAGTGCTGTTTTTTCCAGAGATGCTGTTGATGGCAGTGCAGGTGTATTCCCTGCTCATTTCTTTAGTGAGAGACGGTGTTGTATACTCAGACATATTGGAGACCACAGAACCATTGAAGTGCCATTGGTAGAGACTCGGTGGAACAGATTCTGCTGTGCACTTGAATGTGACACTGTCTCCTGACTTCACCACATTTGGTCCCGTTACAGTTGGCATCATTGGTCCATCTGAAAACATATAATAACTGCATTAGACCCTGAAAACATGCCAGTGAAACTTATAGACATTTAGCTTCCTTTCTCAAGCAAGTATCTAGTTACCTGTATGTAGACATTCACATTATAAAATTATATTTATCTTTATTATCTATAGTCCTGTGAAACATACTTTTCCCTTTACATATTTTACTTTTTATTTTTAGTCACATTTAAATGTATTATTAAATAAATCGAATATCAGATAAAGATAGCCCAAATAAATATAAAATGTAGCCTGATAAAAAAAAGTTATTGGTTTGCAAGCCTACCAAATGGTTGAGCCTTCAGTTGATAAGCTTGGGCAACACTACCATCAAACATTTACAATTACTGACAATGCCACAGCATCTTCATTACAATTAAGCCAGGACTTTGACTAGGCCACTAAAGAACTTTGTTTTGTTCTTGAGCCACTCAGAAGTAGACTTGATAATATGTTCAGATTTATAATTATATTTGGTTTGAACAGCTTTTTCCCCTTGATACACAAAATATTCACTTGAAACCTGCCCTTTTCTATTTTCTTTTTTGATATCTGAACAATTTATTGTTTTAAAATAAATTTAAAACAATTTACAATCACAGAATTGTATTTGATTCAATTTTGATAATAGAGACCAAAAATCTGGTTCTTACAGTTGACTACAACAGCGAAGCGGTCGCTGGTCATGTTGCTCACGAGATTACTAGCGTGACACATGTAGTCTCCACCATCAGAAAGTTGGACTGGATTGAGAGTCAGAATCTTGCTGTTATTGTGAAACATAGTTCTATTGTCAGGAGTAATTAGGCTGCCATTTTTCCACCACTTGATGCTGTCAACAGGTCCAGTCACTTCACACTGGAGAGTAAATGATCCATCTAGTATTGCTGGTCCATTAGTAATACTAATGACCGCTGCTGTTAACGGATCTGTAAGAGAAGGAGTGAAGAGGTGGCTTGAATACACACATATAATTTCGTTAAATTATCCTATATATTTTTGGACAATTTGTCATTACAATCCACTACTTCTGCATTTATATTAAACAATTTTTATTGCTCTCTGTCTCTGATTGATAAAATGGCAGTACTTATTTATTTGTTAATTGAAAATGGAAAAATTAGGATCAGTCACCAAAGACTCAAGAGATGCGCACTGTTTGTGTCATGCGAGCCACTCTGCATTGAGCTTAAATATCTCAAACAGCAGTGTGAAGAGTTGAAGCACAAATTACTTAACCTTAAAAAATATATAGTATACGAAGCACCATAATAACATTTTCAGTTTGTTCTGTTCTTACATGGTTAACTGGAAGTGAGTTAATGATATTTTAGTCATATCAAATCACAGGGTAAATATGCTAATGTTAGCTTAGCACTAAAGCAAACAGCTCTGGCAGAAAATATCCTTTGTAAAAAGTGTTTAACGTCATAATGGTCAGTCACAAAAATCTGGTTTAGTTTGAAGTACAAAGGAAACAATATGCTGGAGCTTCTGAAACCATAAATCTTTGTTAACCAAATGGATAAAATATCTAAACAAACAACAGCTGATGGAACGTGTGGTGGATGCAGTACAATGTAGGGTGGAGTGTTCAAACCAATGTAAAGAATAGACAAAAGCTGATGTCCCATCACATGATAGCAAGTTCTGCAGGACATGCTTCAGCTTTTCACCCTCATTTCAAACATCAGACGGATTGAGGGCAGTCAGATATGACAAGTCAGAATGACCCGAATGACTCAGAGGATTTAAAAGTCATGTCTTCTTGGGACTCTGGTGACTGTTTCAGTGTGATTCTTTCAGCTATTTCTCATGACCATGGAAATAGATGGTCATTAGGACCTTAGCCATTAGGACCCACATGGGATTCTACACCATCTACTTGCATCTCCAAAGACTACAAACCTCAGTTTCATGTTTTATGGTACAAGTCTGTGTCAGTAACAGGATTCTTATTTCTGTAACCAACTTAATTTGGTCTCAGATTATTTGCACACTTTCAGTTTACAGAATAAAACATAACCGACTTCTAGTCCTGAGCACTTTAACATTATATGAACAAAAGTTAAATAAAGAGAGAAAACCTACCCATCACTCTGATCTCTCTACTGTCTTTGCTGAATCTCATTGTGACTGTGTTGTGAAATGAACATTCGTAAATTCCGGAGTTGTTTTCTTTGACATTCTGCAGGTGAAGCTGTAGACCAAACTGATTAAGGTTGACTCCATTAAACATCCACTGCACCATTGCTGTGGGCTTGGACTCCACAGAGCACGACAGTGTGATGTTAGATCCTGATCTGTACATGTCCTTTACAAGGTTGACTGTCATGGTTGCATTATTAGGACCGTCTGTTGAGACAACAAAAGAAGATTTTGTGTTTGTGCTGCAAATACTTGAGCAGGATGCCATGCATTTTTATTTTCAATTAAACTTACAGCTGATGTTCAGATAAACAGGTGGGCTGACTTCATATCCGATTCCGTTGGACACATTGCACCTGTATGGTCCCTGGTCATAGCGGGTCACCCCGGCTATGCTTAGACTGGCACCGCCATTGCTGAGCTGCACACCTTCCTTGCTTGATATTGTAGAGTTTCCTGCCAACCATTCATAAGACAAAGACGTTCCGGTGGAAACTGAGCAGTTGAAGACTGCTGTAACATTGAACTCCACCAGATCTGTCCTTTGTGCTGATAAAGTCGCATTTGAAATTGGCTCTGTAGAGAGAAAAAAAAAGTTGAATAGTTTTGATATTTGCTTGAAGACATCCATCAGGCTTCAGCTGACATTTTACTGTGTGCTGTAACAAAACACTGCAAACAATACACATGGAAAACCTTTGCAAGCTACTTATTAATAGTTCAGTAATGTTTGTGCTGCAACTTTTATACCTCTGCCTGAATCATAACTTACATAAATGATTTTGTTTAGTCTTATGAGGCACAACGGAGGGTCAGATGGTGACATGTTAAGGAGCTCTTTGTAAAAAACAATTTCTTCAGGAAAACATGGTTGCAGGTCAAATGCACTATTTGTTTGTTACTGGAATATCGAAGCAATAAATTGTTTTGTTGATATTTTGAGAGATTTGAAACATGTTGATAAAATAGATAAAATGCTAAAATATAACAAAAGTCAAAGGCAAGAGTCTGTTTTCAAACTGGTATTTATTTACTGCATCTTCTAAATAAGCAACTCAGTGAGTTGCATTAAATTTTGAAATTCTAATTGTTCAGAGTGAAATAAATAAAAAAGAAAAACTTTTGTATAGAAAGTCAGTTTTGAGTGGATGTTCTCATTTTCTATTTAGCCTATAGTTCCCTCCAAAAACTTTTATTTGACCTCATGATGGAAAAACACCTGTGATCATTAGAGATCAGGGATGAAATGTTATCATGAAGGCTCATGTATTATGAAATATCTTATTTGAAAATAGTATTCATAGAAAGGGTCTGTACAGACTGATTTTTAAGATGTGGTGAAGCTACTGATTGTTTTGGGGTTTGAAAATAACTAACATTTTATCTTTTTTGACCTTATTTTTGCTGGGACTTGTGTTTTTTTTTCATTCATTCATAAAGTTTTTATCTAAATAAAGTAAAAAGCATTGAAACATGATCTCATTTGATGTTTAGTCATGTAATTGTTGTACATAGATTGACAAGAGAAAGCAATGATATAACACGTATGCTCATTACACAGATAAAACAAATCTTTTCTTTTGTCACATATCCACAAGTCTGGCTCTGTAACATTTTTGACTAATCAGGGAAATATATTTAAACAATGACTTAGGTCCTAGCCTAAGTCATTCCTTATTAGACGTGTGTCCTACAAAAAGACAAAAGTTGAAAACAAAACTGTGACAGCAGTCTCGAATATCCGAAGGCTGCTGTTATTTTGGTGTAATTCATTCAAAAGCTGTATTTATCTCTTATTTGAAGTTTCATCTGTTGCTAAAAACTGCATTTGGGGTTTACATGGTTGTCATTGTGTTTTGGTTTGCTCGGCTGATTTATTACCAAAGTGTTATTTGTACACCAGAACTAAATGTTTTTCTGTCAATGCAGATTATTTGAATTGTAAATTACTTCTGTGGAAATACTATTGATTCAAAGTTATACCATTAATTACATAACATTATCCAGGGTGTTCATGCACATGTGCAAAGAGTCTTATTTAACATTCTGCTCAATTAAGAAGCGTTAGAGCATTCTTACCTTGGACCGAAAGCCATAACTCATCAGAAAACTCATCCATTTGTTCTAACTCGTACACTCCGGAGTCGGTCAGGTTTGCTGATATTATAGTCAGAGACGACGTGCTGGAATTATAAATGAACCTGTCTTTTTTATTTTTACTTAACAAAGACCCTCCAGGGTAAATTAATGCCAGGAGATTGCCGTTGAATGTCCATGTTCCCGCTGTAACGGTGGTTTTGCTGATGATGGTCACGTTGCTCCCCACTGGTAAGGGATTCTCAGAAGCATGTATGAATTGGCTGTCCACAGGATCTAGAAACACACATCAGAGAGTTTAAACAATCAGTCAAATTTAATTGAATATTTAATTAGTTATGGGGAAAAAAAACAACCTATAATCAGTATCTATAAACAGTTTACAAAATTTTTTGCCTTGATGCGGCGATCCTTAATCAAATGAATGGTCCGGTTTCATAACATTAACACAATTTTAAAATAGTTGTGAACTGTATTTAATCTTTGCACATTAATTTAAGTTAAAGAATGAATCCAGTTTACCTGTAAAAGTCACTGTGGTCAGGATTAGGTAAAATAGCAACAGAGACTCCATTCTGCTCCTTCACAACTTTTTTTCCAACCAGAATAGACAGAACTGCTGCTTTGATTAAATAAAACCTGGTGATATTATTAGATCACAGTTCTTCAACAAGCAAATATTTGCTCTGTGCTCTCTTCATGCTTTCCCAGCGTTCTGTTGCAGTGGCACATCACAGTCGCTGCCTGCCACACCTTATTTTGCCCTGATGCACTGAGTTTTTATAGGTGCTCACATAGGAGTGTCCATTTACTGTAAACTCAGGTTCGTCATTTTCAACTTTTAATCAACCAAAGCCTCACATTGCGTCACTTTGAGGGATCACGTTGAGCCGTGGGCCTCAAAATGCAAAATGATTGTGCAACAATGTAAAAGTCTTTAAATGTAAGCTTATTTTTGTAAAAGAAACTTAATAATGAAATTAGTGCTAAAACAAAATCACATCAAATCAAAAACAAGAAATATAAATAAATATGAAACAAATGTAAGTAATGCTAATTTTTTTAAATCTCAAATGATAAAATCTGTATAGTATTTCAGTTGTCCAGTCATACAATGAACAATTGGACTGAATATATTAAACGTTGACAGGCTTTGTTAGAGGTCACCAGATTGTTCCTGTACCTTAATTTACTTGTTCTTCCTCTTGCTTTGTTTACTATAACCACAAACCCACAGTGATACCATATTTGTCCATGAACAGACCTTCCCATTGCTCTTAAAATAAAACGGTTGCAGAGTAAGCTGAATGAGTTAGTTTGTTTTCAATGGAGCGTCGTCTGCACATTATTGAAGAATAATTCAAGCTTAAAGTATCTCATATGATGCGTCTTTTGTGCTTTAAATCTCTTTCTGTCTATTGACAGAGCTCTGTTTGATAAAACAGATACCCAACAAACTCACAATGGTTGGCAATGACTTGAAAAGACTGTTTGAAATCTGTGACTAATGGACAAAAGGAGTGGCTGGTAATGCACCTGCTGCTCTGGATTATTTTGAATTTGTGTTTTTACTCATGAAGACTTTTTGACTGTTTAATTGTTTGTTTTTTTTTTTATGTGGAAGATTGTACAAGTGGATTAATGAGTGTAGATGCTCTAGCGAGTTTCCTCTGTACAGTGGCATCAGCACCACATATAGGATGTGAAGCTACAAGATCCAAAAGAATATCACCATTATACCATCTATCTCTGATCTTGAACAAGTGGGAAACAATTGATGGAACCAATAATTATGAGATTTTAATCTTTAGTGCTAACACACATAAATAAATGCTTTTCGTCAAAATAGTTTCACATCAAATGTTTGCCTTTTTTAAACAATCCTTAAACGTTTTGCAAACAGCACTATCAAGCAGCAAAGAGAAAAATTTTATTTTTTAGTGAGTAAAAGGCATTTGACGTATGGTGCATCAATAAAGTGTCCAAACTCTGATACTTTGTATGTTTTGTCGCATTAGTTTCAAACTTCAGTTTGTTTTAAAGGAATTTGATATGAAACATGGATCTAAAGTTGTGCATAATTGTGAAAAACATTTACAATGACACATTTCCTTTTAATTGTTATTTCAATTCTCTAGTTTAATTGACAAACTAAATCAGGTGTGCTGAAGCTTGATTACATGCCAGTGTAAGGATTTTTTTTTTCTGTGTTAATTTTGGTTTCTGTGTTTTGTTGAGTTTCTGTGTGGAGTTTTCCCGTCTCACCCTTCATTGAGTTCACATGTTCCTTGTTTCCCCTGATTGTCTCCATGTGTATTAAACCCACCTGTGTTGCTTGTCAGGTCGTTGTCTTGTCTGCTGTCAAGTCAAACATTGTTTGTTCATTTACTACCAGTTGCTATCAGAGATCTGCTCCTAGCTTTGCTCACTCTGTGCAACCTGAATTTTGGATATTTGTATACAATCGTCTTTAAATCGTAATTTCTCACCATAACTGCAGTCTGCTGCGTCTACCTCACCACCTCATAATCGCTAAGTCTGACAGCTAGTGAGACAGTTTTACTATTTAATTCAATTCCTCAAAAGGTTAAGGGACTTGGTCTCTTGAGGACTGCCGTTTGAGACCACTTATGTTTCTCAGATTTCTCATCACTGTCAACTTTTCCCTTTTTTTTTTTCTTCACTGGCTTTGGCATACTCATTTTTCTTTAAAATAAAGCCCTTCAAACAACACAAAATATTTAAAAGAATCATCTTTTATTTGTAGCTGTATTTAGAAAAGAAGAAATGCAAATAAATCACACAAAATGGTTTTGGCCTGATTTAATATTGTATTGGGTTTACATTTTTCACATTCTTTATTCACAGAATGATTAAATTAAACCAGAAAGGTTCAACGATGCATTAGAAATTTCTGAAGCAAAGAGAATGAAATTAACAGTTTTAAAATGTATATATGACATCAGTTATTTGTGTTGTCTAAAAAGTTATCAAATGATTAGAGAACACAGAAAATGTATAAAAACCTGAAACAATTTTAGCAGAATACATCTATTAATAACATAAGTATTTACCAACCAGATGGATATGTAACCTTGTTTGATTTAAATTTTGCTAAATGATTAAATTAAGATTTTCCCATTTATTTGTAAACGTGTGTCCCATCCCTTCAAATTATCCACATGATAAATCGAGACGGTGCAGCTTTTCTTGACGTTTCAAGTCATCTAAAGACTGAAATAGTCACAATTACCTGTAAAACAAAATAAAACTATAGTTATTTGTTAAATTACCAATGGAAATTAGTCGCTGGTTATGTTTCTATTTTTTAAAAAAAACTTGTACAAGTCCTTGTATTAAGCTTTATTTGTTTAAAGGTGGAGATATTATCTTGCTGAAAATAAAAATTGTCCAACATGTTCAATATCACCTTTTAAATTGACAATGTTAATAGTTTTAAAAGGTTTATAGTAAAAAATTGACAACTTGCCTGAAAAGAATCCAGTCAACAACAGCAGAGGAAGAAGAAAAACATTGGATTGCAGTTGTTGAGACCCTGAGCAGGAAAAAAGCAATCATTGCAACCTAATCTTCACATTTTAATTAAATGGCGAACATGAATTCTGAAACCAACCACATACCCAAATATTTTAGAATAATAGTCTTTCAATAAGAACACCATCTGCAAAATGCAACCACTTTAAGATACACGGTAAGACCTGGAGTACATTAATGCTTTAATTCACATACTTTGGGCCTAATGTTGCCAAGACAGAATAAACTATGGACAGTCTTGGAAATTGGAAATATGTTTATGAATCTAATTAGAACAGGCTTCAAATGGTTTCCTGGCTTTAGAATATGAGCTATAATATATGCTGTTGGTGAGGTTTTAAATAGAAAACAAATAAAACATGTTTAGTTGCATTGTATACTGTCAGTGTCTATTATATAAGACCTTGAGAACTCCTTCAGTAATCTTAAGAAAACAGATATGTGTCCATAATAAAACACAGTGTTCTACCTGAAAGGTGTTCTTTCCAGTCTAAAGCTGTATGAATGGGGAAAATATAAAATTTTGCCTCTAAACTAAGGAGAAACTTACTCGATATTGTGATGTGTGTTGTTACATTGCTGTATAGGTTTGTGCGGTTGTTGAAGGCCAGACAAGAATATGGACCGCTTTGTTCTGCTCTGACGTGGAAAAGCTCCAACATTGTTCCTGTAGCATTCACAAGATTTCCCCTGAAGCCCCACTGAAGCTGAGCAGGAGGGTTGGACTCTGCCAGACAGAGCATGCTCAGATTGGACCCAGCAGGGAAGGCAGTGGTGTTCAGTCCATTCACTGTGAGACGCATGTTATCCGGGCCGTCTGAGGAAGTGACAAAGAAATGAGCAGGAAGACGAAGATACTCTAAATCACCACTTTTCAGTGTAAATCAACTGACTGTGTAGAATTAAACCAACTCACAGCTGACAGTGAAGTTTACTGAATCACTGGTCCCATTACTGATAGGATTAAATACTTCACATCTAAATGGTCCCGAATCAAAGCGGCTCACGCTGACAATATTGAGAGAGGAGTTTCCATCAGTGAACTGAACTCTGTCAGTGGCTGTAACCTCAGAGCTGCCGTTCATCCAGCGGAAAGAGAGAGAAGATCCAGTAGAGACGGAGCAGTTGATGAGGCCTGTCGCTTGATGCTCTATCATATCACTCCGACTTACTCTGAGGGTCACATTGGAAATGGGTTCTGTGTAAGGAAAACGGAGAAACTGTTCACAAATTCACTTTGTAGGAGAAACTGCATCAGCCTAAAGGTTATAGTGAAAGTAAATATTTTATTCAAGAAGAATTTTAATTTAAGGAGTTTAAAATGTCTGGTGATGCTGATATTGGTCTCAAGAAAAATTGGTTTAGAATTCTGACAGCCACTTTTGCCCTCAGTCCAGTTAATGCTCCATGACTTTTTGAAATAAGAAAACAATGTTTGTCAAAATTTTATAAATATTTAATACATTTCTTTTCATTTTTAAAGAACCAAAATTTTATCTTTGTGTGTAGGTTTTACAATTAACAAAAATAAACTTTTACAAAAGTCCATATGAATTATTTTAAGGTAATAAAGCAATGATTGAAATTCAGTTATTGAAAATAAATGAAAATTTGAAAAATTCCCTTAAAATTGTTAGCAGACTTCCAATTTAAATATTTTTATATTTTTTAATGATATTTTGGAAAATTATTAAGAGCTGTGACCCAAAGAACCACTGGTAACTGAAGCTCAAGACTTTTTTTTTTCACAAACTGCCTTTTTAAGAAAAGGATAAAAACTATTAATTTCAAATAATTAAATATCAAAAGCAGCATTTTGCTAGCCTGAGAACTTGGTCTTCTTTTAACAATATATTTAGAGCTATATATTATAGGTTAAGTATGAAGTACTCATTGTTCATTGTCTTATTGAAAGGATTATTTCCTCAACCTTGATTGGTTAAAAAGAAACACTGTGATCGTAAAGAAATCGTAGTAAAAATACCGTAACATGAGATTGTTTTGAGCTGAAAAATTACAGTAAAGTTTTGCATAGATTTTCTGCTCACTCAGAAATTCAAACCAGACAGTTTTTCTCTTGTTACTTATTCCTTGACAGGTTCTATGAAAGTACAGGTTCAAGTGGACAGCAACACAAAGGGAAAGGGTGAGTGCTAACATTGAAACAAGCCAGAGGCACAGTCTCA